ATCTAAATGAGAGTGGTGGACCGATCGACTGAGAGTCACGCTGCTAGCTTTCTAAAAACCACATCAGCTCATTGCAGTAAACAGGAGAGTGCTCCAGCTGTAGGGACAGATCACTCAGGGTAATGACTGAGGAGTACATCCCTATTAAGGGAGGAACAGAAACAAGACTCTGCCACCTCTTTCAAATGAGTGAGTCTGCGGGGAGACCGCTGTCAATAAAACTCCACCGACTGATCGATGCTGCCTTTTATCTGCGGGGGAAAACAGATTCAACATCAGCCCGTCTGATAGAGATAGACAATGGATGAGGTTGACGTAAAACAGAGGAACAAAGCTGTGTCAAACTATCATAAAAGCGTCACGGGGGAGAGGAGGGATTTCCTCTGCTGCAGCTGGAGGAGCTGACATCACTTCCTTTTCGGTGGAAATCTCTCTATCTCTTCCTCTCTTTCGGCAGGAAACGGGTTGACTGTCTTTTAAATCTCTATTCCACCGTTCGCTCCTAGAAAACAATACAACTCCCACATGAGACAGCAAGATGTGGCGTACTTCTGTGCTTATATATTCATGCATAAGTGCATCGTAAAGTGGCTAAATGCACTCTGAATACCCAGAGGTTGTACCCATAACGTTCAAAAACAACATATATTGTAAATAAACTATTATATCAATTCAATCCAACACAAAGGACATCAAAATATAGGTTATGATGTGAACCGGTCCAATCTTTATTAGTGCTCTATGTTGTCATTATTAGTTATAGTCAAATAAATGACAACCAAGCATATCGAACATTAATATTATTGTTTTCTACAAAGAGATAAGAAACTCCGCTGTACTCTGCACCGATATGTAACGCCCTGTTTTTAGAAAAACATATAAGAAGAGACATTTTCTAAGAAAGTTTCACTCACTCATTTTATTCTTGTGTTATGATCTTTAGAAGATCTGGGGAATTCAAAATGCTCCATCTTTTGCAATGCAATCGTTCTTCACCAAAGAACCAGTACATCATTTGACTCAGAAATACATAGAGGGGCCATCTTTAATACATGAATAAGGGACCGAGAGCTGTGGGTCGATTAATTCGGCGAAAACAAAGAAATAAAACTGCAGCTGAGGCTCCAGAAAGCGACTCTAATTATCCAAAGTCCAGGCAGGAACGTTGTTTTGGTCATTTATCGTCGATTATTGAATATCCAACATATGCAACAATGTTTTCACCTGTGCTTTCCCTGGTAAAAGAACATATGCTAGTGCTGGTGCCCAACGCTGCCTTTAAAAAAACAGCATAAAGAAAAATGACTTTAATTCACTTAAAGGTGGGGTAGGTCATTTTGGAGAAACCAGCTCGAGTGCGCTAGAATTAGAAAATACACAGCCGGAGAAAATCTGCCACTTCCTTACAGAGCCCCTCCTCCAACACACACGAACGTGCACATGACCAATGAGGGCACGAGATAAGTTTGTGCACAGATGGAAGGCTGACAGGCAGGTAGGCCATCCAGTTATTTTACCCGGGCCGGCTCAGATGATTGGTCGTGCTTTTTACAGATGACATTTTTTATTGTATTTATTGTCAAAGCATTTCATATATTCATTGCTATCGGGATGTTAAGAGCATTCCATGGAATATAACAAGTGTTTCTGAAGTGAATTACCTACCCCACCTTTAAATAATACTAAATGTACTATAAACAAATACACCAAGAAAATAAATGTTAAACTATTACATAATATACATTAATGTATAGCTCCATCAGTATCACCTTATGGCTGCACGGGCGTCAACATCACCCAGTGCCCAACGCTGCCTTTAAAATAAAGCATAACAAATTTAAATCACTAACATTATACTAAATGTACTATAAACAAAAACAGCAAGTAATATACGTTAATGTATAACTCCATCAGTATATATTGTGCACATTTTGGCTGTACAAAGCACTGAAAAGCAGAAAGGACAACACAGAGATATGAATATAGTGCTTCTTTCATTAGATTTCATTACACTTTCTCATCAGAAAACACATCGCAATAACAATTTCAGTCAATGAATAACCGTGCAGCTCAAACTAATGAACAGAGAAGGCTTTGTATTGTCTTTGGTGTAAAATGGAACATAATATATCTGGTTTCTGTGTTTTTTGGAGGCCACAGTGAGCGGGTGTTTCACTGTTTGTCTTCCCCCTGCAGAGAGTTATGGTTCTGCTCTAAAGTGCTGTTTGTAAAGCTGCATGATACCTCATTTATTTTGGGTGAAGTCCGACTCAGAACCCCTCATTCATACCGGAGGAGACACGCTGGGTGTGCCTCTGATTTCAGGTCAGAAATGATACGGTGAAAAGAGAGGAAAACAAATGACAGCCTGGTTAAGAAGTGTGTTTTCTACAACCGGCGCATGGAAGACAGCAGATTTATATTTGATATTTTAGAGGAAAATTGCTTTATTTCAGCAGCTTTTGGATGATAAGTAACAACAAAAAAACCATTTGATTAT